GTAATCCTCCACCACCTTCCTCGCCACCAGCACCACCACCACCACCAGCATCACTACCACCTTTCTCATCATCATCATCACATCACAACCACCATCGCCACTGTCATGACCATCATCACCGCCACCTTCGTCACCACCGTCGCCACCATCGTCACCATCGTTACCATCCTCACAGCTCACTTACAAAGCAAGGGGGAGTCTCCCTAGAAGTGGGACCCAGGAGGCAAGGGCCCCAGACGGTGCTCCTGTCGCTGTGAGCGAGGCCTGGACAGAAGGAAGTTAACACCTCCCAGGCCATTAGAGACATAACTAATGAAGGTTATGAGGAAAATATTTATTAAACACTCTTGGGGTTTTTCCATTTCCCTGATCTGAGGCAACCGGCTGTGAGTCACTTGTCACTGGAAGTTGAGTTCTCCAGGCTGGGCAGCCCCCACCTCGCTCGGCCAAGTGTGAAGCCTGCCATCCGGAACCCCGCCCCGCACGGCTGCCCCACGCCGGCTCCCGAAGCCTGGATCACACGCCACCGGGCGGGCACACAGACTGCGTTCGCCCTTCACCCACTGGTGGGCGCGTGGGCTGCTCCTGCCTCTTGGCAGCTGCGAATAATGTGTCTGTGAACACGGGTGTGCAGAGATCTTTCCGAGTCCTTGCTTTCAGTTCTCATGGGGATGATACGCTCAGAATGGCAGGACCGTGTGGTAATTCTGCTTTGGGCTTTTGTTTTGTTTTGTTTTTGTAGAATTGTCAGACGGTATTCCACAGCGGCTGCGCCAGCTTACAGGCCGTGGGTTCAGAGAAGCAGTGAAAAGGGGCTTGTAAGGCCTTGGAGGGCAGGGGCGCAGGTTCCCAGGAGGAGGCTGCTGGACGGTGGGCCTCCACCGGACAAACCTGAGTGGTTTGGAGGATGGGGGCTGATGGGCGGGGCCGGGCAGGGATGGGGCCTGGATGGAGCTGAGGGAGCAGCCTCGGGGCGGGGGTTTTGGCTTCACCTTAAGCGGTAGCAGTGCGGTCCGCACAGGAGGAGGTGGGGGGGCCTGGCTGCAGTCACTGGGGTGCCCAGGCTCGGAGCTGGCCCCATGACCTGGTGGGTCCTGGCCCTTCCAGGAGCATCTGGAGGGGGTTGTGGGAAGCACTTCGGCGGAGACGGTCCACCCGGCCTGGCCCCCACCCCCAGGCGAGAGGAGGAGCCACCAGGAGAAGAAGACGGCCAGGAGGAAGGGGAGCCTCTGAAGGCCTTGCTGAGGCCGGGAGGAGGCCCGGCGGGGCCTGCACACACGGGCACCCTCAGGCCCTGCGGAGCCTTGAGTCACCCCACTTCCTGCGACGAACAGGCCATCTGGGATCCGGAAATTGAGCCGGCTCTTCAAATGCCCTCTGGGTCTCCATGTTCTGGGGTTTAATAGAACATTCAGGCCTCTCAGTGAGCCAGAAAATCGCATTTCTACCTCGGAATGAGAAAATGAAAGTTCTCCCCAGTGGGAAAGGGCCCAGGCCCTCTGCAGGGCGCTGGCCGCCGGCCACGTCCTCATGGAGAGCTTGGGAGAGAGTTCCTCACCCTTCAGTGGGCTAGGCTGCGGTTCACCTTCTCTGAGAACCCACCTGAACCCTCCTCACCCCCTGGACTGGCACTTCAAGGTCAGAGCAAGTTGGTGGCTGCCGGCTTCCGGGCCCCGCAGACAGCAGACACTTCTTGGGAAGAAATCTCGGGGACCAGGAGGCACCCTCTTTTGTGCCCCTGGGCTCTCTCCTGATGTCCTCCAGGCCCTTGCAGTGGCCTCGGCCAGGCAGCTCTCCACCCGCAAGCCGGGAGCCTCCAGTCACTGTGCCCCCAGGCGGGTTTCCTCGGGGGGACACACCCTTGGGCAAAGCCCTGAAGTCCCAGCTTGTCCCCAGGAGGGCCACCTTGCGGTCTTCTCCCCCCTGCAGCACTCTCCCTCCCAGACGCAGGCCCCGCAAGCCCCTTCTACCTGCAGTCTCAGTGGTTCTGTCTCCTTGCAGACCCCGCCCCCCCCCCGAGACAGACCCCGCATTCCTGGCAGCCCCTCTGCCTTTGTCCACAGAGCCCACTCGGCCCTCCCGCCCACACCCGCAGGCTCGCCCACCATGGTGGGCCCCCCTTTACAGCTGCCCCAGAGCCATTTCACACCAACTTTAACACCAGGACACATAGGACGTGCCGAGACCCCGGGCAGCAGCAACCCCCAGAGGTGGCGTGTCCCTCCCAGCACTGACGGAGACCCGCCTGAGGGCAGCCGGCCGCCACCTCCCTGTCACCAGTTGAAGCCCCCAGAGGTAGGTTTCTCGGTTGGGAACGTGTCTCTCATTTTCCAGGAGAGGGCTCCAGGGCCTGATCAGCCGGGGGAAGCAGGGCTGTCCAGGATGTCTGGCTGCAGCTGTCCCTCTGAAGGCTGAAAAGGTGGGGGAAGAAGGTGGGTCAAGGGTTCAGTCAGCCCTGGTCCCTCGGTGAGTGGGGGCGGCAGGAAGGGGTCATCCCAGGAAGCTGTTCTAGGTCCCTGATAAGGCCGTGCTGAGCAGAGGGGACAATGGGGGTGGCTTTTTATAGCTCTTTACAGAGACACAGAGCTCAGCAATGCCTTGGCTTCCCAGGGGATGAAGGAGACACGGTTCTGGAAGACTTCCTGGAGGAAGCAGGATAGAGGTTTGCACAGTCATCAGAGGAGGGAACGTTCAGGAACCCTGCAGTGCAAAGGCCGGGGGTGGGGTGGGGGCACGACCCCGGGTCCTTGCTGGAGTGGGCAAGGCAGGGAGGGGGCTGGCCGGCGGTGGGCTGGGCTGGGCCAGGACCCAAGAGCCCAAGTGGGTGTGAGCTCCAGCACCAGGCCAGTGGGGGACACAGGACAAAGCCACTGGACAAGGGAAGGACAGGGTGGAAGGGGTGTGGGGGGGTCCAGAGGCTGAGTGCCGGACAAGCCGCCCCAGCGCCCCTGGAAGCAGGGGCCCCTGCCTTTCGCCCCCCTGGGCCGTCTCTCCTTTTTGCTGGTTGTCACGAGCAGCAGTCGGGGCATTTGCTCCTGAGGGGGCAGCAGCTTTGGGGTGAAGATGCCCCCTGAGGCAGTGTCTCCGCAGCAGGGAAAGGTCGTGTCCACTGAGTTTGCTGAGATTCCCACTCAAATAAACCATGAAGAAATGCCCATGCGGCTCTGTGAATAACTGCTGATAAGCTGAGTGTTTGCATTTAATGTTTTTAACACAAAAACACCCTCAGTGCACCACCGCCTTCCTAGTCACACGGCAATGGCAGGGCCTGCAGACACCACTCTGCCTTACAGGCGGGCGGGCTGGCGCGGGCGCCAGGCGGAAGGCCCGGCGGGCGCCTTGTTGCTTGTCAGTGGAACCCGTGAGGCACAGTTGTGTTTGAAGCTAAGTAACGCCACCCCTGGCGTGAGGCCCTTCCGGGACGTGAGGTCTCTGCCACATGGACCTTCTGACCCCAGCTCCGCCCCCAGACTGGCACGGCGGGCCCCGGGCAGGCCTGGGCAGAGCCAATGCGCTCCGCCTGGCAAGGTCATTTGCCTCTTGTGGAAGCGAATGCAGAAGGACCACCCAGGTGGGTCCACGGTGAAACTCAAACGCGTTTTACAGGGAAACACTGGGCAGCTGTGGCCCTGCGTCTGGAAAAGGGCTGGGCTTCGCGGGCACTGGGCCTGGCATGCCTGTGCCTGCCACTCCGGCAGTGTCTGTGCCATGCAGCCTCCAGCTGCTGCTCCCACTCTACCTAGTCCACCTTTCCTGGAACTTAGGGTGCCCCACGTGTCCTTAGGACTCCAGGCTCTAAGGAAGGGCGGGGAGGTCCAGACCCCATCTTTCCCACCCACAACGTAGTTTCTAACACCAGCCTCTCTGAGCAATGACCAGCTGGTGGCTTCTAAGGAGAACGTGACACCGCATCTGTCTGCCCAGACGCGGAAGCCTGAGCCATCACCGGCGGCACCCACCAGACGCGAGTGCTGTGAATGGGGGTCTCTGTCCTCCGGGGCCCAGAGCTCCCATCACTGCCGCCAAACGCGTGTAATTCCAAGTGATTTATCGGTGCATCTGCGACCCCAGGGGGAGCCTCCCCATCCACCAGCCTTTTGCGAGCACGCTTGGGACCCACGCACGAGAATCAGAGTCCCCAGCCGCTGCCTTCAAAGACTGCAGAGCCTCTAAAAAGACAAAGGGGGAATTGAAACTCCATCTCCGGAGAGTCACCTTGCTGGGGAGACACAAAGATGGAGGAACAGAGGGGGGTCTGTGGCCTCTCACAATTCAGCAGGCACTGGCCAGCATCCTGGCTCGGGGGGGCCGACATCTCGGTTCACATGGCAGGCTAGCAAAGCTGCGCGATCGGACATGGAGACCCTGCTGACAGCTGCGTCTTGGAAGGTTTATGTGGCCCTGCACAGCGCTAAGCACCGTGGGAACAGTAGGAAACTGAGGCCCAGGGAAGCTGATGCAGAGCCTGAGGGAAAGGTCAGAAAGTGCCTTGTAGAGTCCGGAGTCTTCGGGCCGCGTCTGGCTTGAAAGGGCTGCTCCCCTCCCAGGATGGAATTACGACTTTGAGAACAGAAAATGCCTCTTACTCCCGTGGACTTCTGCTGCTGAAGACCCTCCCAGGGGCCCACGCCCTCCCTCCACCTGACAATCCCCCCCCCCGCCCGTAGACTCCTTCCTTACCTTCGGTAACGGTAACGTTCGGAACCGTCTTCGGTGGCTAGGACTCCTTACCTTACGGTACCGG